CTTTCCTCCCCTCCATCACGTGTCCTAGTTTTGGCGCCCCCTGCACAGCCCCATTCCCCCCCACCCCGCAGTTTGGGGGGGTGGTGTCTGAGCCGGTACCCCCTTTTACAGCCCTGCGAGGAGGTTTCTGTGGGGCGGGGATGGGGGGCAGGGATGGGAGGAGGGGGGACAGCAGGTGCTCGGGTGGGTCATAGTGGGGCTGTGGGACAAGAAATCTCCTCAGGTGACCCCTTCCCTGGAGGAGAAGGAATAGGAAGATCCCTTGGGGACAGGGTTCTCCTGCCTTCCCCAGCCTGGTGTGACACCCAGCCCAGAGGGGAACACATGGATGTGTCCCTGCCTGCGTGGACACTCTGGCCCTACAGTGCTCAGGATGGTCTCCCTGCCCCAAGCCCACCCAAGGGTGCCCAGGATGCTCCCCCACTTTGGAAGAGCAGCCACTGCATCGTTCCTCCCAGGTTCCATGCTCTGCATGTTCACCCAGTCACATCTCAACCCATCTTGTCCTTTGGGTCCCCTCAGTAGAGCTCCTGTGTTGACCCGCAGTGCCCTTGTCCCCAGAGTGCCCCACCTTCAGTGCACTGTGAGAGTCTGGAAGGACAGGGGATAGTTGGTGGCTGTACTGTGATGCCACATGACTGGCCTGGCCCTGGTGCCATCACCAGGAGGGGTGGGAGAGTTGGTGGGGCACCAGGTTTGTGATGCAAGGGTTGGGGTGGCTCTTGGTTCCTGCAGCTGAGATAGGGACATTAGGGTGGTTGGTGTCTTTTGGGGATGAGATGTGGGTGTTGTTTTTTGGGAATGAAACACAGAGACTTGGGTGGCTCTTGGCTCTCAGGGTTGAGACGAGGGATGTGGGGGTGGCTGTTGGGGTTTGGGGGTGTAATATGGATGTTGGGGTGACTCTTGGCTTTTGAGGATGAAACACAGATGTTGGAGTGGTTGTTGGCTCTCAAGGATGAGACACAAGTGTTGGGGTGGCTCTCTGTGCCCAAAGCTGAGACACAGGTGCTGGGGTGTCTGTTGGCTCTCTGGGTTGAAACACAGATGTTGGGGGTGTCTGTTGGCTCTCCAAGCTGGGATGCTGGTGTGTTGGAGAGGCCACAGGCAGTGTTGAGGCAGGGTCTGGCTTTTCCAGGGCTGGTGGGAGCAGCTGGGAAAGGCTTTGGAAGTGAAGACAAGCAGCTTATGTTTGACGTGAGCGGGAGGAGGAGCAGGGCAAGGGGGTGCGTGGGGGGCTGGGGAGAGGAGCGAGCGGCGTCTCGCCAGCCAGCACAAAGGATGCTGCAGTGACAGGGACAAAGCCAGGCTGCTGGGCATGGTCCTGACAGGACCTCTAGCCCTGTCACACCCCAGGGACATCCCACCCAGCTTCCTGCACTGCCTGCAAATGCCTCCAGCCCGGGAGGGATGGAGAAGGGGCAGCTGAGGGTGGCTGAGCCCCAACGCAATCATCACATCCCACGAAAAAAAAACACCAAACCACAACAAAAAGCCAAAGCAAAATTAAAACCAACTTGAAATCTCATTTTGGGCTGGACAAAGGAGATCAGGGTCCTCTCTGGGGTTAGAGTGATGACACCTGGTCCCCAAAAATATATATTCAGTGGCACCAGAGAATGCAGGAAGCTCTGAGGGATGTCCCCAAACTGGGATTTATGGCTCTGCAGGTGTCTTTTGCTCCTGGGAGCTTCTGCCTCTCTGTGATGTCCAAGGGTGCATGGAGGGGGAAAGGGCACAGACATAAATATGCACCAAAATGTTGCTTTTACCAAAATCAGATGATTTTGAGGGCAGGCATTTTTGCAGGCAGGTTGCAAAGGAGCTCAGGGGCTGCTGGATGAGACAAAGTGGAGTGGCAAAGGGAGTGAAACCACCAAAAGCCATGGGAGGAGAAAGCAAATCCCATTATTGCCATTAAATGGGATTTTCCGGGGTGGGAGAAAAATAAAAGGCTTTCTTCCATGAAATCACCAACCAGCCCCTCTGGAAAACTCCTGTTGGGGATGGGGAAGAACCCCGTTGTGCTCCAGATCTTGGAAGGCAATGGGTCCCACTTGAGAAGTTTTTCTTACACTTCAGGGTCAGTTTTGGTTGGTTTTGGTTTGTTTTTTTCCCCTTATCTGGGAAAAGAGGCAGGAGGTGAGCCATGCTCCCAGCACTGCCCCAAAGGTCCCCCCCGGCCCCCCCCACCATCTAGTGGGGCATAGAAAGTGGAGTGGCAAAGGGAGTGAAACCACCAGAAGCCATGGGAGGAGAAAGCAAATCCCATTATTGCCATTAAATGGGATTTTCCGGGGTGGGATGGGGAGAAAAATAAAAGGCTTTCTTCCATGAAATCACCAACCAGCCCCTCTGGAAAACTCCTGTTGGGGATGGGGAAGAACCCCGTTGTGCTCCAGATCTTGGAAGGCAATGGGTCCCACTTGAGAAGTTTTTCTTACACTTCAGGGTCAGTTTTGGTTGGTTTTGGTTTGTTTTTTTCCCCTTATCTGGGAAAAGAGGCAGGAGGTGAGCCATGCTCCCAGCACTGCCCCAAAGGTCCCCCCCGGCCCCCCCCACCATCTAGTGGGGCATAGGTGGACATGTCCCCTTGTCACCTCAGTCTCTGACCCCACACCCAGAGACCTCCGTGCTCCAGGGCTGTCTGTGATGACTTTCTCTGGGTTGCTCCCAAAAAACACATCCCAGCCTCACTGTGTGCAGAGAAGTGAGCAGCCATGTGGGCCGGGGCAGGTGGTGAATGCCACCACAGTGTCACCATCTGTCACAGCCCATTTGTTTAGAGACCTCAGAATGAGACCAGGTCCTCACTGACCCTCTTCTCCATGTCAGCCCATCATCCCCATCCCTAGGCTTCCTCCCCCAGTGGCACTGTCCCTGTCCCTAGTCCGTCACATACGTAGCATCTCTTCTGTCGGGAAGCCCTTTCCATAGAGAAAGGATATGATGACAACCCAGCACACACCCCCTCAGCCACATTGGTTGCCAGCAGTACTGGCACAACTCTCCTAGTACCAGCACTGGCGGGATGCAAAGGACCCCAGGTTCTCCAGGATGCAGCACAAGGAAATGTCTTGGGGGACAGGAGCTACCACTGCTGGGACAGGGAGTGGGTCACAGCAGGTTTAGGGCTCTGGTGGGGATGGTCAGGGTGGGGGGAAAGTCCAGGATGGGACAACTGCTGCCTCCA